TGTAAAGTCATTGCTTTATTAAATTCCGATTGGATAAGCAATTTGGTAAAGTTTTTATTGGTTTAATTTTTTAAGGTTAGCTTAATTGAATAATGCACTTTCGTTTATAATTTTGAATTATTGAATTCACACATTTGGTAAATAAAATAATCATAAGAATTTTTTTATTTCTTTGTATTTGTATATAAAATAGCAAAGACGTGAGGCGTCGATCGACCAATGAAAAAATATGTGTGTATAAAGAAACTTTACAAAAAACCATTGCAAATAGCAATAATTGGCATATAAGGGTAATGAAATTTTTAATAAGCGATTTACAATCCTATTAAGTAATTAATATTTCTTTATTTATTGTTGTTGTTTGATCAACCATCAATAGAGGGGGATCTTCAAATATAAACACATACATAGTTTCCAGTTTACCTGGGGTGGGAGTCTCCTTGTACATCTGCAACTCTGTCCTGGATTGTCTGCGTAGCAAAATTATCCTGCCTCTATCTTTGGTATCTTGAGTATTATAAAATTAAATTATCACTAAGTACTACTGAACTTACTGATTGTAATTCGTTTTATATATATCTATCAGTTAAACACGAGTTAAGAGAATGTTTGGTATAAGTTTAAATAGTTCGCCATTAACTAATTAAACTTTGATCAAACATTCACAAAAGCTTAAGGTGTTAAATGCTCTGCATATAGCTTCAAATAGTACTAAGCAAATTGAACAATATGCCAAAGTACTTAAGTAATACTGCGGTAGCTCGACCAGAGGTGCATGTAATCCCAACTCCTGTCTGGTTCCGAAAACTTTAATTCGCTAAACCTGGAACAATCCACTGGAGAATCCCTGTTCAATTCCAGTAAATGGTTGCTTTGCCCATAGCTTACATAGAATTAAGATGTCGGAGACACACTTGTTAGGTATTTAAATATCAAACATTTTTAATTTAATATTTTTTTGTTTGAATTGCGTAGTAATTCTAAAATTGTAGATTGTGATTAACCTCTATTTTACGAACTTTTAATATGTTGTAAGATAAGAAAATAACGGTTTTATTTATATGGACAAACTTATTGGATATATATATTTGTATAAATATTTCTGTTTTAAAGAGATAGGCGAAATAAAATGCACGCATTGGTAATTCTATATACAAGATGATGGTAACTACGAGTATAGAACTAAGGCTGGGTTGAAAGATAGCAGAGAGGGAGATGAACTTTCTAAAAATCTTTTATCTTTAGAAAGTTCAGCTCCCTCTCTGCCTAGCCTCTTCCCATTTCATTTGGGGCGGCTCTCCTAGTTCTTGTTCACCATGCACGTCTGTCCCGGGTCGTCAAGTCGTTTATTTCAGTTTTTTTTAGGTGGATATTGGTAATGGAAGTTAGTAGGTCATCCTCGTCTCTTTAGACGGGTGTTAAGATTCCGGATAATATTTTTTTACATTTTTTATGTAATTGGAATGACGAGCACAGAGGTCGTCCCAACTAAGTAAGTGGTAACTGTTGCTTAAAGATTACCAAAATGGATAATCACTTTATCATGTGACGCCAAGATATCGCTTATGCAATACCAGTAAGGGGGAACTTAGATATTATGAACATGATGCATTTATATCATAATATTATACTGTTTACTCTCTTCACCCAACACAGTTTACAAAGGAAGTTTCTTAGTAGGCGAAACTAAGGTGTTGACGAATGACTGTTTTAAAACCTACCTCGGTATTTTGTTTTAATATTATTTGTTTATCAAACATTCCTTAAGATATAAAAATAGTTATTTATCTAAATTTCGCTTTTATATTCCTTGTAAGCTGTCTTAGGTACACATTCTTACCTACATAGCCCATAGTTTCAAGACGTTTTATTCTTTGATACCTGAAGTGTTCAACTAGTGTGAATCGAAACGTCTGTTGTCAACATAATATGCATGATTCCAACAGTAACACTTCGAAGATGTTGCTATTTTAATTTATACAAATTTAGTTTCCTAATAAATATTTTAACTAGTCGTTTACAACGACTTTGTCTGCTTTTATTGCGAAAAGTATCTATATCCGTCCCTGAGATAGTCTATCTTAATGCCTCATTCATATCTGTTCAGGTGTTACGTATGGTTCCTCGTAAACTATATTAGTAATATACGTTCAACCGTTTAATTGTGAAGACGATACAGATGGACAGACATACTTTTACAAAAATAATGTTTTCAATTATTAGTTTTTATAATCAAAATTGTATTTAATTTGATTAGATGTATAGTATACATACTTTGAAAGAATTATGATGATATTAATTATAATAGTAATACCATAATACCATCAATGAAAAGAATATGAAAGAATGAAATTTTATAATTACGTTGTTGATATAGGTAATTAGTATCACAAACGATAAGATTAATTAATGCCACAGGAATGCTGTCTACCTCATCCCTTTTGCTCCACGGCAATGCAAAACTAACACATTATTGTATCAAAGATTTATGAACCGCTTAAAATTGTCAAACTTGAGATAAACAGGCATATTTCTGAAAGCTGGTAGCAGCTGAAATACCACAACAGTAATATATAGTAACAGATTATTACATATTTCGTATTTGCGACAATCTGAATCTGAACACAGAAATTGAATTGGCGGCGAGCGTCGTCAGCTCGTTTTGAGTTTCGTTCTCTTCCTACAACTAACATCAACTAACGAAACTTCTCTCTAACTAAAATTTTATAGTGCAGAGCATGATAGATTGTTCTTGCATATCTGTAATGAATTGAACGGTGCAAATTGGATTGTTCGACCAAGCGCACACTATCAAAATTGATATAGCTGTTTGTTCACTCAGACAAATTTCTGGTGTCAGCTTCTTTTCTTATTTTATGTTCTTTTTGTAGATGTCTGAATACTTCAATTTTAAGAAGAAAAGCACAGTAAGTGCCTTTTAATTAATTTGTCAAGACTATGAGTAAATTCAGGAAACATTCTAGAAATTGATAGTTCATACTATCATTTTACAACAGTCACGTAAATACGCTTTAATAAGTTATAATTATACTAGCTCACCCTGCAAACGTTGTTTTGCAATATAAATCAAAATCGCTATTAAAAAGTAGGGGTTTATAATAGAAGAGTGAAAGACTAGGATTATATGTATTTGTCATGCCACATTATAAAAAGAAATTAGGGCTGGACAACCTTCATTATTTAGGGATATGAAAAATAGGTAATAGCCGATTCTCAGACCTATTGAATATGGATATACTATAAAATTAAAAAAATCAATTAAGCCGTTTCAGAGGTGTACTAACATTGTGACACGAGAATTTTATATATAAGAATACTGCTTATTGAAACTACAAGTATAAAATACAAAATACATAACATCTTATCTTATATTTAGAATATATGGCATCCGTTTGGTTTTAGTATCAAATTTAGTAGCGTAGATGAGAAAATATCATTATGGTACATAATACCATTACTATGATTTATGCTAATAATAAGTCGAGAATATTGTTACTAACACATATGCAACTGGATACTCATTGCGGCCTTGTTTACCAGGTTGTTAATTTTAATGCATGGTTGTGACATTTCAAACACCACAAATTCAATTGTGTGCTTGAACACAGATAAACTGATTGTAGATAAATAATCTAAACCTTCTTGTTTTCTATTGTTTTGTATTTCTTTTTCGAATATTATATTTTGTGACTGTACGTGCGTGTGAATAATTTGTTTAGACATTATAGCAATTGAGCAATTAAGTAATTGATTTTTTAGTAAAAACTATTCTAATCTATTTTTCTCAGATACATTGATAACACTTCATATTTAGTGTTCGTCCCAAAAAAATGAAACTGAATTGTTTTCATCGATCAATTAGATAGTATTTACTTTTAAGAATGTATCATTGACTTCGTCATTATTTTTCATACATGCTTGTCAAATCTATAAATTAACAGAGAGCAGACATCAGAACTCAACTCTATAAAGTTGTATTCGTAAAATCATATTATAGATTGACCACTATAAATAGATTAAATCAAATTAATATTTGACACTCAGTACCGTAAGTCTATTACCGCGCATATTAACAATTTAACATTTAACACAGGGTAGACATACAATAATAACACAAATAATTATATTTTTTATGGATTTGGAATGCAAACAAGGTGATGATCTACCTAATTATAATAGGCAACGTAACGTGGTGCTCCACGTTATCATGTAAAAACCTCCGATACCACTGAAACGTTACCAATCTAAAATAATAAGATAACAATCATTCCTCTTATATACAATTGCTATTATCGCACCTTACAACCTTAACGTAGGTTATTTATTAAACTGTTTGGTGAGTGGTGAGATTAAGTTACTACGCAGATCACATTTTACAGTCAACCTTTGGAAGATTGAGACTAGTATTAATTTAAGCTCAAACCACTGCATTTATTATATGTCTTCCACAATGTAAACACACAAAAAGAAAATAAATAGTTATATACAATTTCAACACCATGAGGAAAGCATCCACTAAGAAAGGTTTTTTGGAAATTGCCTTCACGAAAGTAGATAAGAAATTTTTCGAGGGTGAAGTAGCTTGACTTCCGCTTAGATAGTGCCTTAGTATATAGAGATTACTGCAATAATTTGTTAGTGGATTACTTACGTGAAAAGTAGTTTATTCTCAAGCTACAATTGTTACGGAATAGGCAGAGATTAGCAAGTATTATTAAGACCACTCTATCAAGAGTGTACGATTTAAGAAGAAGGAGAGGAAATATCAAATGATTCTAGTTTTTACACATATTTTCGTTCATTTATATCATTAAATTTTTTAATTACTGCATGTAAACAAATTTTGCGGACTGAATATGTATTTCAAAATAAGGCCATTCTATTTTATACTATACGATTTATTTTAGCATCTAAACATAAAGCATATACAATTACAATGAAATTAACACACAAATTTATTATTCATTACGTTGTTAAAATTATTTCATTTGATTCATTACAGCAAACGCTTTGTATGTCCAGTTCATGACCTGAAAATAAAGTGGGTATAAAAATCCTTTGTATTTGTAAATAACATTTATATTCAATCATAATATAGACTTGTTTTACAAAATTACTGTTTACGATTATTTCATTTCTATCTAGAATTTGTAAAGGGAATTACTGAGAAAATAATATATATACCTACTCCTATACAGATTTAGAAGTGAAACACGTGTAATCTTTCACTCGATTAATTTGGATATAAGTAATAATTTTGTAACTTGCCGGGTTTCTTAAACAACGTGTAACAGTATTAACAGAATTGCTTATAAACTTAAGTTTGTAAATTTATCTTTATTATGTAATCTAAATCTTTTGTATTTATACAATATCTATAAAATATTTAATTATATTGGGTGAGAAAGGGATTGTTAGTAACGGGGTTTACCATTACCTTACCATTACTAGTAATGTATCATGTAAAGTTGACTTTTACGTGGTCCTGTGGTCGGGAAATTATCGTGTTGAATTACTTGTCACTTGCTCATCTTATTATCAGCCATTGATGCCCCGACAGTGGTGCATGTGAGTGCACCATTACATTATCGTCCATTACAATTAATGTTATTACATTCATTTTAGAAGTTCGTACAAGATTTCGAATATTTACTAATATAATATGCGAATCCTTACTGAATCTGATTACTATTTCAGAGAAAAGAGTCGTGATTATTGCAATCTTTTAGCCTCTATGAATTTCAGATAAAGGTACTTATATTGCTTACAAATATCAAGTTCATTGAAGTTACGAATACTTAGCAGAGATTAAACTGTTGGTACAAAGGGTTAAATCGGGCCAGTTGCCGAATCAAGTTTACCTTAGGTCAAAGAGGGCACACCTGTTCCCAAGAGGTATGAAGCTTGAATAATTTATTAATGATATGCGTCTACAGACACTAAACAAGTATGTAATATAAAAATTGAGAATACTAAGATATATAATCTGTTTTACAATTTACTACTGTATACAAGTATATTTGTTACATATCAATAGCAAAGATCTCTGTAGGTATTTTACGTAGATAGACTTTGAATAATTGCCTCTGTTTCATCTGTTTAAGCCAAACACATCACTGTAGAATGATAAATAAGATATGTTTCGATAGAAAAGTCAATAAAACAGTGAAATTATGGTGTACTTAATGATAGCAATGTACCAGTTGAGTTTCTTACCAAATCTTCTCAACTGAAGTATCTAGCCGAATAGTGATAAAAAATAGTGCAAAAGAGTATAAATAATTTTGAGTCTGAGTTTAATAGTATTTAAGTAATTTATCTTTGATATTATTAAATTTAAATTTTCTTGTTCTATTTTGTTAAGATTTTTTTGTCATCAAAACGGGTTTAAAATTGATTTGGAGAGCTTCTCTCTTGTTACTATGGGTAAATACCGCGTACTCTAAACCAGCTAAATATTTCATATATACCAAACTTCATGACGGTTACTTTAGTCGCTGAGGCATCAAAATGTAACGAATAAACAAACTTAATTTCACATGTAAAATACCTACTATTTAGCTTTTACCTTGGTTTAACCTTTGCGAATTAGAACAAAATGTTTTCAGTTAATATAGTATATAATATAATGTATATATGTAATCATGTACATTCATTCATTCTGACTCGGTCTTTGGTATTGCTTATGTCAAACCTAACCCAGTCAGATTTAAATCAATTAGTAATTTTAATTTGTTTGAAGATAGACTGTATCACGAGCACGAACATAGGCTATCCTTTGTTTTAAAGATATGCGATAACACAAAAAGCCGCAGGTAACAGTTAGTGTTGTAAAGGTCGCAGAGTATATATAGCGTGAAAGAAAGTAGTTGTTTCACGCTATGCACTCCTTAGGTAGTTAGAATATATATTTACCATAATATTTAGAGATACTGTTTATTCTACATAACAAATGTAGGTAAGATATAGTATTCCCAGGCAAGATACAAAATTCTTCTAGTTTTATTTACAAGTAGGGAATAGGTACATAAATAACAGTAAATAATAGATTCTCACCGTGGTGAAAGTTGCTACTGAAACTGGTGCGAGATTCGCCGCCCTTAATGTGACAGGCTGCTGTGCAATAAATATAAATATCGCTATGTTTTTCTTTACACCCTTTGATAGCTTCAACCAAGGACTATTATATATCGCCGTTGATAAGTAGGAACTCTGAAATATTGTGTGATAATCCAGACAATACACTATTCATCGCAATATTAGAGAATGTATGTTTGATTCTTTATCGAATCGAAACGACTTTTATGAAATTTAATATAATACGTCACGAGGGCGGTACTCGTATCATGAAATAATCTATAAGAAGTGATATAATTGATTATTGTTTGTTTTGGTGACATTGCGGTTCCAAACCATTATACTATATCCAAAATAATATTATAAATTTGAAAGTGAGTATGGTTTTGTATTTGTTATCTTTTCTCGACTGCATATCTAAACTAATCTTAATAAAAATACGTGAAGGTAAATTGTATCATGAGGAGGATACATACTATCTTTTACCTCAACAAATAAAATACGTCTCTGTTTATAGCTTTTCGCTAATAAAACGAATTAATCTACATTGAGATTAAAGTGAAGTCATTTTATAGCGACACGTAAATATATGTACTAAAATTTTATAGTAATTAATCATAGTTGCCATTTATATTCATAATTGGTTAAACATATACATAAAGGATATATAATACGTACGATAAGGTTTTTTTCAGTTAATCTATTTAGAAACTAACTACGATTAGTGGCTCAAATTTGTATTTTATTTTTGTAACACAAACTTGAAGCCCATGATCATATATTCGACGAAATAATGGATAGAATAGACATAAGTAATGGACAGAAAAGAAAAAACATGATAATACCTTTACAGTAATTTCGTTCCCGAAATAACAGTCTAAAAAGAGATTTAAGACAAAAATAAATAGGTAAGTTAAGACCCAAAATACTTCGGTAATATTTTTGTGTGGGGATTCAATCTGAAAACAATATTTAGGAGTTAAATAATACATTATGTCTAAAAATATATAACTTAATTTTATTTACTTCTAGATTAGAGGTTATAAAATTATAGGATTTGGATCTTAATGTCAATAATGGCAGGCCACAAAAGGTATCAAGGGCGTCATATATTAAACTGATGTTCGTAGTGCTGTTTATGTATGAAGGCGACGGTTACCACTTACGGATTGTTATCATTGCTATCATGTAGGCAATCAGCTTGTTTACCATTATAGTTAGAAAAAAATAGGAATAGCTATCAAATTGTTAATACATCTTAATGCTACTCACTGAAAATATCTGAACAGCTGTATTACAAAGAATGATTACGCTTATGAATAATGTAGACGATAATTGTCCCCCGAGTGCCTTCTGCAATATTTTTATGTTCCTGAAACATAATTTAAATTATTGATTTTTTAACCTATTTATTAATATTCTTCGTTACACTTTGAAATAGGGTAACAAAAATTAATATTTACATAATTAGATTAGATTAGGATTTTCTATTAATTATGTAAAATTAGATTAGATTTTACATAATTAATAGAAAACCCTAGATTCTGCATTTACATACGTACATTTTTACCTGTACAAACAGTTTTGGTTATTCAAGTCTATAGATAAATGAATTATAGTATAAACATAAATTACTATTTATTACTAATTCACGTGGCCATAGCTTCAATATATAACTACAATATAATATTAGATGTAATATTATGTTATCTGTGATATTAGTAAGGATATGATAACATCATATTCATTGCAAAACATGTTATTCTCACGAGTTTTAATCTTCTTCTGTATAGATACCATTTATTATATGTGCGTGGTTGTATATGGGACTTATATTATTATTAATATTTCTAAGTAGGATTTCAACGTAAAATTAAATTAAATTTCCTTTCTATAATGGCCCATGATTTGTTTATCGACTTAGACTAATTACCAAAACGATATATAACACAAAATAATCTAATGATTTATAACAAATTACGTTGTATCATGTAAAAGGTTTTCCTCTCCAAAACGGCTTTACCAAAATTCACATTTGATATTTCTGTCGCATAATATTTCAGTTCGCAGAAATCACTTAACATAATTAATGCACGGTTATGGATTCGAGTAATTTATTGTAAATGTATTGGAGGGAATTGCAGTTTTAAGATTATTAATATATGAAGAAGAACATGCCACTTTAATTAAAGTTTGCATGTACGTGCATGTTGAAATATGGAAACAATAAGAAAATAGAAGAGTTCAGTAAGCAGATTTAGACTGATTTGACTATTCTATACTTTCAATATATCATGTAGTAGCTAATCAAATTGTTAATATATAGTGCAGCGAAGTATAGTGAATTAAGTAAGAGTTACACGTATATTGTAATAATATGCTACCACCTACTATATATGTATAAAAAAGTATAAAAACTGTACCTCAAAATGGCGAAGTAATGGAGTATACAATCTTTGAATACACTTTTGAAAGCCTCTTCATCATTCAAGCCTGTTAATTGTTTTGTCTCTTTAACAAGATCTTCAATATTTTGTAATTTTTTAATTAAAATATCCAACTGATTGACTGAAACAAACGAATAGCGCTAACCTATCTTTGCTATAAATTAATTATAATTTATAGCAAAGATAGGTAATAATAGTCAAGGTAAGAAATTTTGAAACAGTTTCATCATCCTTCGGGATTACTCGGTATAATTTCAATATCATAAAAGACGCATTAGCTTTTAATCTAAGTATTAATGCGTCATATAAGAATAATGTGTTTTAGTGGACACGTATACAAATATTTCATTGATTTTTTATTATTTAAGTAAATTATATATATGTATATATATACCTTGGATGTTTCCATTAGCATACCTACATTACAATTAGATATGTGAAATAAATGTATTTTTTTTGGATGTTAATAAAAATTCTCTAATCTAAATTCTGTAAAATTAACTCACTCGCAAATATCATGAACGCCCACGGCAGAGCCTGGAGGCTCATGTAAGTGCTCACCATCATTGGTTTGTACAAGATCTAAAAAATATAGTTATTATTAAATTTGTGTTTCTGTCAAGAAAAATAATAATATTTAAAAATTTATTTATCACAAAAATATACAAGGTTAGATAAATTTTTATTTACGTTAAAGGCATACGCACACAAGACACAGTAATATTAGCAACAAAAATAAGAAAGTAGATACACAATTACATTGGTCAGTTATCAAACTTATTTTAATGAGAATGCACAAAGACGTAAAATACTAATTGACAAAATATAAAATAATCACTAAGTACATAATATATTAAATATGTCGAAATATTAATACGTCGAACCAAGGTTGTCGTTTGATGATTATAGTAGAAACACTAATTATAGAGGAAATAATACATTGATATGATCTTTACTACCCTTACTTTTATATTTATATAGTCTTTAGTACTTCTACATAATCTATGAAGTCGTTTTAACTTAAAATACATCACCTTGTACTCAATAAGTTTTAAAATGTCCATAATGTTCAGATTATAACTACATTTTTTCCCATCCACTGTTTGCCTCTGATTAGATCCCCCTACTGATCTCCATTAATGATAAGAGTAATCTTATTGTTCGGACAAAGAAAGTTTCACTATCCATCTCTAAGACAACTTGCCTTATTTTATGGTATCCCAACACGATCCCTTTGGAGGCAAACTTTTTTCCCGACGGAGAAGAAACTTTATAATATTCTGGTAGCTACTTTCTCAGTGCTCTTTACTTAAATCTGCCCACTTTATTAAAATCAGATAATATTGATGTTGCTTGTTAATTAAGGATAAAGCTGTTCATTGTTATCTCTTTGACTTATTTTTAGCAATGTATAGATATAGATATTTTCATATTTATAACTACGTTATTCTACTTTTATACTACATTTTCGATCGATTTCAGTCGCATTGTTGATATACCTATATTTATCATATTATTTTATTTAATATAATGAAATACCACAAACCATATACATTAAATACTATTTTATATAAAGTCAGCATTATGCCTAATTATAACTTTTATTAATAAATAAATTATGTACCTGATAAGCACAAATATAATTAAAATATTTACTATCTGTGATATCAAAAAAAACAAGGTCCATTTTCAACGGTAGATATTTAAATCCTTTTAATCCTGGCACCACTATAACGTGAACTGAAATAAAAAAACGCATTTCATTGTTTAAAGATAATTCTATTAAAAAGTTCAATGAGGGAAGTCCTTTGCAATATATCGCATAGAAGCCAAAGTCAATTATGAAACTGAAATTAAATTATTAATCATTTATTGAAATAGTTTACGGAGTCATGATCAGTGAATACCACCGGTAGTAGTCAGGAGGAGTTTGTTTGTGGCTCCAGCAAATCACTACTCCCTCAATCGCCGTTTTAATAAGAATTATATATATTGTCAAAAATTTTATTATATGTTACTTAATATTATATACACTAATGAAACTATTTCTCAAAACAAGCCGTTTTTCCATCTATCAAGCATATCAAATGCAATAAAGTTATTAAGTTGTTTTTAAACCCAGTATTAATTTATTTCATTATATATTAACAATATTAAATTTCAATTCATATATGTAGTAAATTATTACTTTCTCTCTCTCTCTTTCTTTTATTTACTTTAATTTGGAATTTTATTTCATTTACAAATAAATTTAAATAACAATAACAATCCATTTTAATTTATAGTTCTACTTTTTAAACAAGCTACTAAAACAAAACAAATAGTTTAGTTAAATATTTGAAACGTTTGTTAAATATTTCCTGGATTAATATAATATTCAATTCCAGAAGCACTATCGCATATAAAGTGTCTCAATGATAAATTAAATTATAATATGTTAGTTATGTTATCCATATATATGATAATGTAGCAAGATACGATATAAAAGCAGCATACAATTAATTGAGCTTTAAATAATTACAAATAATAAATACCTTTAACCGTAATCTAAGATTATATACTAAGAAATAGGTTTAAAAACAGGCTCTAGTAGATATAGAAGAAAACATAAAGAGATATAAAGTTACGTACCAAAAACATCACAGGCAGCGCTAATCATAAACGCAGTAAACAATCTCCTTGAGAATTTTATACCTTTATCTATAATCTTTTTATGGCTTCCATCGAAACAGTGGAACTCATTATTATTGAGCTCATTTAACAACTGCCTGACTGCATTCCGATGGAAGTGAAAATGGATAAGTTTATATGTCGCCAGCATTTCTGTTGAAACTAGGTTTACTCTGAAACGTAGATAGCAAGTGCTTACTGCTTTTTGCCAGTCATAAAATATATAATATATATATATGTAACAGTACTATAGACTTTGGTTATTGTTTGAACAATCTAACCGATATCATCAAGTTTACTTTGTATGTGACATTGTAATCATCAGTAATGTTAATATATCAGTCCTTAAATATAGGTGTGTAATTGTATATTTTTATCCATACCGCTACTCTACATGAATATGTATTGCTGTTTTAAGATATTTCTAAATATTTGGACAGTTTGTATAGAAATTTCGTAATACTATATATGTAGGTATACCAGTCTAGATGTATCTGTGTAGTTCCAGTTTCTTATTTTCACATTTCGTACATATTTGCACATAAATATACGTCTTCCCATTATCCCTTTATTCGCATTTATTTTATGATTATAATTAAAAAGAGAATTAATACCATTTGCATGCATTACATTTATTAAATTGCGGTTGTTAAATATGTATTGAACTTGGCTTATACCTACTTATTCAGTGAAATAATCTTATATTTTGCACGTACTTGTACGAGTAAAAATACTTTGTACAAGTATTGATATCGAATATAATATTGATTCTAATTGAGTTTGGTTCAATGAAATATTAGAATTACAGTTATTGATTTGTAATCATCTAACTAATTACATTGCTCTATTTGCACGTGTCTCAGTATCGGGGTTGTCAATTAATAATCATGATTCGTGTTAATATTGAATTGATTGAGCCCAATCAGTCCAATCTTATTAAACGTGTCTAATAAGTGAGTTCGCTATTATGAACTGTGTTACATTAATGTAATATCTATTGATAAGCACGTAAGTTTTAAATTAAGTTGTGTTCAGATTTGTTATATAAAACTGCTTTAGATTAGATTTCTTAGAATAAAAGTAAACCATGTAAAACACATAAATTTTATGCATGCATGTAACATATGTACATTTTTAAATAAATTTTGTAATATATGAGTAGTTAAAAACTGTATAATTTTATTAAATGGGTAATTATTACATCACAAAAAGGATAAGTACTCAAAAACTTTCTTAATACTCTGTAAAGAATTTATGGCATTTAACCGGATCTTACAGAAAATTAAAGTCTATTAAACAGATCTATATGTAAGATCATATTCAATTATAATTAAAATATAAGAAGATATACAATTAATTTTAACGGATTAAATTGAGTTATTCACACATAAATAAGAAAGTTGTATAATTAATTATTATTTTCATAGACTTATAATCGACCAAAACGCAAAATGGTGCTTTTTTTCGTTTTAATGGGAATTATGTGAATATCAATAAGTTTCTTTTATCATCAATATCATTATACCTTGTCCAGTATTTAACACTTATTTACTGAATAACCAAATACCGAATTGCCTTTACCAATATAAGGTCTTAGAACTCATCACATACTATTGAAGAAGGTTAATTTTAATTTGTAATCTTTGAAAGTAGTATCCTGTACATTACAAAACAACATCTCTTCATCACATTTCGGTTAATAAGAAATGTTGGACCCAACAAGAAGCCGAGGTTAAAAATGTATTGAATGAAAGTATTCTAATTAAAATTTTGTAATTAAAATATGTTGGACGCAATAAAAATGGAGAGTGGAAAGAATTTCTAGTAGATAAAAATAATACAATACCTAAAAATCCACAGGATAGATAAAAATAAAAAGTAGTTTTGAAGGTACTTCCAAGAACAGGAAAATCTGCTAGCTTAATAAGAATACCGGAGTGATTCCATAAAAATCAACCTGAATCTATCTCGGTTTCTGTCGACGGTACTTCTCCTCTTTTTTATCGCTTGTCTGCACTTTTTCACGTTTGCATTTAATTTATAAAAAGTGAGCGTTTAGCAGGTCTTATAGCGCTACAGTTTAACTTCACGTAAAAGAAAATTATAACTGTTGTGTGTAATTTAATTGAGGAAGTCTCTCAGGACTTATTTTTTGTTTTAAATGGTCTTTAATTTTAATTTGTGTTGATTTCTGCAGACTTATCCCTACATATTTGGAATATATTTTTGTAAAACACTTTTAATGTACTTTATTTGTTCTTTGTGTGCGGCTCAGCTGAGTATGTCTAAGTCATTACAGTACTATAAGATATTGCTGTGCACATAGCGATAAGTAGATCGAAGGTTCGATTACTTTTTTAAATAAATTACGATACTATTTATAAGTCATAATATATTAATTTCCTTATTTTTATAACAACAATTGTAAAACCCGCCGTCAATCAGATGGAAAATGATAACAACGCGGACATCTGAAAATATACGTCGTGTGCGATAATTAAAATAAAGTGTTGTATTTGAATCTTACACCTTATAATTGTATCATTCTTGAACACAGCCAAGCTTATTGGCGGAAATATAGTGAGACAGGCATACTAACACAGACAGCTTTTTAATAGAATTCTCTAGTGTTATATACATATGCAGAATAAAAGAAATTTTATTATAGATATGTAGTTTTAAACCGTTTTTGAATGTTGGTCACTATATATAGTGTCCATGTGAAATCTGTTATTGAAATATTTCAAAGGGGAATCAGGATATTGGGTCACGTCAGTAGAAATGGTATATTATTTACAATATTTTATTGAATGTATATTTCTAAAAATTGGGAAAATACCGACCGCATTTCCTAGTTAAACGAGTTACAATCGGATAGGAATCATATTTTATCCCTATATTCAAGTAAATAATTCCATATATTGATTTTGTTAGATTATCCTTTAGTGTTTCATAATATTTTTATAGTTATGGTTAGAATACTTTTCCTAGAATATACATACGTATATGCATCATAATAAAAGTAACACAGCAATAAAAATTCCTTGAGAACTGAAGATTGTTCAAAGTGAATTGTCATTTCTGCCACAAACAAATGATATTAGATATTTCCTAGATGTACATATACATATGTATAAATATATATAGTCCTAATAACAATCAAACACAATGGAACACTACCTACGAAATCGCTTGAAGGTGACGATCTTTGGGCGGGCGTTACATCAACTGAACGCACAACGCCAACAATAGAACAAATACTTACATTGCAGCTATATCTTGAATGCCAGCATTTCCAGACACGCAAATTTCTATCAAATATATAATTTGTCCGGTTGTAGGTATTATGTAGATAAGTATACCAACAATAACCTGCTTAAACCAATAAAACCAAAACTTGAAAGATAAAATCGACTTTGGCTTATAAAGCCAAATGTCAAAGAACTTTAGCGTACCAACATGAAGAGAGATATATTGGTATAGATAAACCGCCGCAGTTGATTTCATTTTGAGGCAACTGGAACAATTGAAGACTTTACGATTTCAGACTATATTTAAATGGTGTTTCAACGAAAACGAAGTAGACCGCAAATTAAATTATTCATGCGAATAATTAAGAAAGAAATTAAGCTTAATCTAGTATAGTAAATTACACTTTTCATAGGAACTAAGGGATTCTGTACATTAATTTTACATTTGTATGATTTTTTTATACTCTTTAGATATCATCAGTATATCTATTATAATCTTATAAACCCAAATAAACTCTACAGTCCATGTCAAGTATTTGTGTATATACATATTTATAATGTTTTTAGTACAATAAGTACATTATAATATGATACAACTTTATACGATAACCTCATCTTATTTATCTAAGTAAAGCTGATATTACATTTACCGAGCTAGAATATAACCGACCTAGAATGTAAAAAGTCGTCTCCATTACTACTTAAGTAACCTTTATTTTAGCTGCCAAGTAGTTTGATTTGTAAGCTGTGTTTCGGTTACAGGGTGAGAAAAAGCAATTAAATTACCTACAGGATAAGTAACATGACATTTTTGTGCTTTAGCAGTGACAAGCGTCTCACATAATTTGTATGTGATAACGTGATATTCGTAGTGATGGTCTTGTATGTATATGGTCGACAGTTACCACTTAATTATTAGGTCAATATGTTTGTGATTTTTTTTCTTGTAATTAAAATCGTTAAAAAGAGATTTACATAGAGATAGAAAGTACGGAAGTGTAATTTTTTTTCTTCTATACAAAACTGAAAATAATAACTACGAACAATATGCCTTAGTACACAAAACTCGCTAATAAAGAAATAAAAAAGGGTACATTTTATTACGGTTTATCCCACTTACATAGTTGTAGAGGACCCTAATGGGCCTTTGTAATTTTCATTAGCTTAAATTACCATAATTATGGTAATAAGATAATTGTGTAATTAATTCTTTCCCAGTCTACCGAAAATAGTGAAGTGAAATTATTAAGAAAAAACTGGCTATGATCCTGTCGTATTAAGGGTGGTCCACAGCTGTTTTCTGTCTTCATCATTCTTAATTCTGTAAGTTTCTTTTTTATATCTATTGCTACAGAAAATCTAAACACATGAATAAACTAAACTATTTTAAAAAGATTTATCAAAATAGAGTTGTCGAATGCAGTCGTGTAACATAAATATAAATAAAACGAATTTCCTCCTTTTTGATGTCCATTTATAACAGAATAACATTAATTGACTTTAAAAGTAAATAATAATACATAGAATCAGTTTGTACTTAAAGACTTATTGTTGTTGTTGTCTCAATAATATGCCATCGAATTTAGCAGATATTAAAAACAATGTGTAAATTTAAAATTCTTACTAATTCTTCCTAGTTAATAAAATACGGATACAAACCAAATTCAAGAGACTACGGTAGGTTCCTCCAACTTATGTGGGATTGTATATTTAACCATGATGTGAATATTTCAAATTGTTCTTATTATCCCAGATGGAGTCACTAACTACTAGTAATTAGCTATATGGGTAAATATGTGCAATTTATGTATTTTGAAAATGCAAGATATTATTTCCATGTCTATCTGTGATTTTAAAATATACTTAATTTGATATTACAAACAGTAACACAAGGAATCCTGTGCCCTATTCAAATAAATATAATATACGCATATTTAAATGGGGACCGTTATCTATACTTGGCTTTAAATATTCAGGACGTGACGACATAATATTATCATAAATGTACAATTCGGATCTAAAACTACACCTACGCATATGAGTGAGTATAACCTAATTATGTCTGTATGTGTCCGTGTCGGACCCATGTTAACGTAGTGATTACAAAGCGTGCGTGTTTTTCGCTTATATACGTTGTATGTTACATACATTACACATAGAGATGCTTGAACATATTATAGAGTTGACAGTTGAATTGATAGAACACTTGTTTGTGGTCCGGAATTTAGATTTCAATTACAGGGAGATTGAACCCAAACGTAATCTTTCAATTATGCAACTTGAAGTATAAATCAATCAAAAAGAATATTGTGCCCTGAAGTCTCGTTATCTGACAATATATGTATTTAAAAGTATTCTTGGTTGTAAAAAAAAACTACTGAAAACTTTGGTTCTGTATATCATTGACTATTATTTAAACTTTTATTCAGACACTCATGAGTTTATTGAATGCTGCGGCGTTCCGCAATGTTTCATGTGCGATTCTGTTTACGGGCATGAATAGCTGGGTTCACGCAGGAGTATAGTATGCGTCAAGAAGCTTGCTTGGTAAGTTATGGTTCAATTAAAGAGTGAATATATGTCAGGAAGATAGTCTACGGAGGTATAGTATAATAATAATAACACATAATAATTCACAAGGCATCATTTACTCCTACGCTAAGAGGAGCTTTTGTTATAGGTAAGGAAACACTTAATTAGTTCTTTTTTTGTAAATACATACATAAATAATCATACTCATGATAACAAATGTTACATAAAAAAGTATTCGCATATAAATTAGGAAATGAAATATAATTACAAACATAGACAGCACAAATATTTCTATAAAAGTCACACTTAATTTTATTCTACATGAATTCATGTCTGTACTGGACATGAATTTTTTATTACATAAAAAGTGTATTGAACTGAACTGCATATTTTGAGAATTAGATTAATTTTTCACCAAATTCTTTTTCGGACCAGTGCCATCAGGTCTGTTGGAAATTAAATAAGTACATACCCAGAGAGTTGGGCTATTTGCCAAAACCGATCGCTAGCGTCCCGACTTTATTTGCAGTCGGCTTACTGAGCGACAATCCCGTTGCACCATCCTCGGTCTAATACATTAAAGCATTCTACTCAAATAGAATCAAGCGTTATATAAAATACATATATAAACTATACCTATACCTATTTAGGAAGCTTGCCTAAACCTGACACTCAACCGATTACATTAATCCTAACGGACAAGTTTTAGACGACTGACACATTTTTAACACAATTATAAATATATTAAATATGTAGCCTAGTCTAGTAATAATATGTAGTAAGATCAGTTTTCATGTTCATCTTTCCTAAATTCAAAATACACATAATATAATCCACCTAAGAAGCGCGAATGATGCCAAAACTAGTCGAACATTGGCTACAAAAAATTTAGTACGTAGCCGAAAAAGTCAGGTTACGTTTATAGTAAAAACTTTTACCAACTTTTTTTAGTCGTGTTCTATTCGTGTTGGAATAAAGCGCCTTCTTACGACACGATTTCATCGATTCGATTACGAGTTGAGACCGTAAGTTATCTGTTATTACTATAATGTTACTGGGATATCAATAGTTCTGAAGTGATAGCATAGACAATACATAGTGTGATATTATTGCTCGTGATTGTATGTACTTACCAATCTGTTTTTTATACCACTAGATAATAGCAACAATTAGAGTGTCATGGCCTAGTAGTTCTACAGTCTCGATTTAGGCTTAAAAGTTGTGGATCAAATCTATCTAAAAGAAAAACAAATCCTTTTTTATGTACAAATAACTAATCAAAAAACCCTTTAATTTGACATTCTCTGTACTATCCTATCCAATTGACTAATAAAAAAACAAATACAGGAATATTTTATGAATACCCCTAATTAAGAATTTAATATATTTAGTATACGTAATACACAAACAACTCTTATTTAATTTACTTCTATAACTCATATCGTCTCATGTATACACGGTAATTACGGAGATCTTTGATTTCTCCATTACACAGTATACAATTTATCCGATCATGATAGACAAAACCTACTACTTACTAATATACGTTAAAACTCATGTATTAACAGACATGATCTTTTTACTGTAATTGTAATAGTATTTATTCTAATGTTAAAATTACTATTATTAAAAAAGAAATTACATTTATAATATGAAAGTATACCTACTGAGTTTTCTTTAAATTTTAAACGGCCACTTCCTAAAACTTTCCAACTATACCTACTCGTAACTTAGCACTTCGACTAACTTAACAAACTGATCTTAGAAGTTTAAGCAACCTAAAATTAGGTTAAGCAGAGTAAGTAGCTTTAAAAGTACCGTTTGAAGTAATGATTACACGGAATTCAAGAATAAAATTAAATAAAACTGTTTAATTGGAAGCTGGATAGCAACGAAACTAAATGATGTAACACCATTAAATGGGCTATGGTATCAGCCTATGTTTTAAATGTGAAATAATCTCGTACTCCTCGTACTTATACATATATACTCCGCTATACGGTACGAGATGTTCGTACCACTTGATGTTTGTGGCATACTTGATGATTAAATTCCAAATATGCGAACTTTTCAAGATTATACTTGTGCTATTTCGTACAATCATGCCGACTATATACGAAAGGACTAGGTATATTCATATTATTTTTTTAAGAAAAAAAACTTAACTTAATTCTAATGTCGATAAAGAATCACCGACCGATTTTATAGCAACCACAGAAGCGTACGTATAAGTAAATAAAATTGAATAATTTACGAGTAGGTTTTACCGCGGAATGTCACAGGCGGTGATGTGAGATATCAAATTATAAGAGGTTCGTGCACATGCGCAAAATGAGTTACTAGCGGCGGGGTCCAGTTCGCTCGACGCCCGTGGTCTTCGCGAACGAGCTTGCGCCATGCGCCGATTCAAATTTCGAAACTCGAAAACACGTTCCGAACGCGACATACATTGAAACTTAGTCTAAATAGATTACTGTGTCAATAAAAAAAAACTTTAAAATATTAGCGATAAAATAAATAAATAATCGTGTTAATTCTGTGTGCGTGAGGAGAAGTTGTAAATTACCTAGCATTTAGTATTTTGTTAAAATCTATCGCTTCGTTTAATTGTTATTAAGTGGTGAATTTAACGGCGTTTTAGTGCTACGAATTATTCTCTTTCTTTTGGATTAAATAGATTAATTAAGCTATTTTATTGGTAAGATTAAAATAAACTAATTAAACAATAATTATTTATATACCTACATAAAAACATTTCTACTGAAAAATAATTTGCAATTGAATTACGGCTCTTCGAAATTCTAAGTTCAATTCCTGAGTATATGTAACAGTTATATGGTTATTATGTGATTAATTAGATTCTTTATTTGCTTTATTATAATTTATAAGAATGAAGAAGAAAAAACATTACTACTTAAAATGATATATCATTTCAATAGGCAAGTCGGTACTAATTCCGATTAATATATTTTTTAGTTTAGGCATACGTATATCCTTCTTGTATTAATTTCTTCCTCTATTTGCACTACAAATATGACAGGTTCTTTCCTTTCCTATCGTCTTATTTTCTACTAAGATGGCATATAATGCCATAATACATTATTTGGTGTATAAAAAATCGGGTAATATATCCTGATATTCTTCGACAATCATGAAATTGAAGAACTTTCCTTAAGGAAATCGTAATATAACAACGATCCAGAATCCTGAGAAATATGGATATGCTATCGACTTACGGATTACAATGTCAATAAATATATTTGGTGGTCCTTCTCAGTGGTTGATTTTGTGTATAATAAATGTACATTTGTAACAAATATTTATGCGGTAACAACACGAACTCTTGTAAGAACATAGAATTTGATTTTCAGTCAGTTTTGGTAATATTATCGCATAACAGATACACAAAAAATAAACCGTCTGATTGATTACTGCTGGCACTGCCAACTACTAAATGACGAAGCAAGTTGGCTGTTGGTTTAAAAATTGTTTTAATTTTCTATTCATGTTCCTCTGAGATTTACAGGGGAACTATTTTTACTTACCAATAAACATAGCTACAATGTGATTTATATTATTTTTAAATTATCTTAAAGGTTTCTTTCTCAGTCGTTTCTCTGCTACCAAACAGTGGCTTTGCGTACAATGGTATAACGTCTTATTGTTCACAAATGCTATGCAGTGATATATTGACAATAGCAATGTATTTTCACATCACATATATAGTAATACAAGTACAGATAATTGGATGATTAATGAAATTGTCCTCAGCTGAATTAGATTGTTAGAACCTATTCGGTCATGACATTTTTTTCTCATACGTTATGTTACGTAATTCATAATATGGTAATTTTCCTAAACATATAAAAAAGTGGTAACGAGATCGTTAATATTCTAATGGAAATATGTCAGAATATGAGTAAAAATACTCAGAGTATTCGGCTTAGTAAAAAACAAACCATTAACGGTTGTATAAGAACATATATAAAAATATAATCTCTGCTATTTTTAAAATCCTGACCTTAGATGAAGAAAGTTGATTTTAATATTACTTAAAACATAATATCTTTGAATATCAACTGCATAATTAGTATACTTTGAAACACTGTTTAATGGACGAACCAATTTAGTCTCTGATCTAATAGTCTCCTCAGGGATATTAATCGATCAATAACATCATGGAATAATAATTGGTGATATCAATAGTGAGCAGCATTAATATCTATTGTATATTAATAGGTATAGTAAAGATTACGCTTTATTACAAAAAGATATCTACTATTACCGCGCTGAATTAAAAAAATCTCATTTTGTATTCCTAATTGATATAAAAGTGCATTTTATATTGTATTCTTAGTAAACTTTACGGTTTAATTAATGCCTCACCCGATGAAAAAAAAATTGTACAACGCTGAATGTGATGTATAGTTTTTATCTTCAAAATTTCTTTAAAATTCGTATATTACGGCATATACTATAGTAAACATATAAATAGATGAGACAGATTTAAACTTTTCTATACTTTGCACAAAATTATACGTATGTGGAATACATACAAAATTTATACAATGTTCTCTTCTGTTAAGTGTAAAAAAGTGGTTAAGCCCGCCTAAAGAGGTTAATATAAAATAAGGTTTTTATTTGAATGATTTTGTCAAACTAATGTACTCCATAATAATGTTTATGCCCAGTTCAAATTTATGGTAGAGAGTTCTCGCCTGATTTTGTATTCGTCTACGGAACGGGCTGTTTGTAAGTTTCCAACCTACGCCTAATTTAATTGAAGCATGATGACTTTAAGTAAAGAAGTCTACTAACTAATATGAAAAGTTTTCTATAGAATTATTACATTTTACGAAATGTAGTAATATTTCTTCTATCGAATACTGGAAATGTTCATCAAACCTAATTAATGAAAAGTAGTTATCTTTACAATTTTAAATATAGCCTATTTAAAATTTTAAAGATAATTAAAAATTTAATACAAAGTGTCTGAAGTCTTATTAGATTTACCTAATAAACATAAACTACATTATTGCGGACTAAAAAAAGTATAAAAATTGTAAATACTTAATAGTGTTATAACTATTATGAAGTGAAGCATGCTTTATTTCTACGTATAAAACGATTTATTTTTAAACAAACAGAAGCTTAATTTAGAATAAAAAAAATATATATTATTGTAATTTTACAACAAATAGTTTTTGTCATTTTAATTTTCCCAAATACTTTTTTAAGATCAAAATTTATGGCAAAGGAAAATATTACTGCATGTGTAAAAAATGCATTGTGCAATAGTACTTTTTCACAAAAAAAAAATAATTTCTTTAATTCTGTAAAGGTGTTATATATATATATGTATATACAAGTATAAAACAGACATTACAATACTATAAAGGTTCTTAGTGGCAATGATAGCGATAATAACGTTTTTTTTTATTTACGAGGTTATTGCACTAGCATTTACAATGTGTTAAAATGTAGTTTTATCACATAATACTTATTATTACTGCCCAGGATTTCATCCATAGCGAGTAGAACTGAGTATTAGTCTGCTCATAATAATTGTTATTATAACACAATCAATTGGGTTGTATCTATTGTATATCAATTTCATTACAGGCGGCCAGTATGGTCGATGTTATTTGCCTGTTTAACTCATTTTAAAACAACAGCCTGTAGTAATTTCACGACATCTTTTCGTCTCTAGAACTACTTATTGTTCTTACGTAAATGTATAAGAACAAAAACTTGAAATAAAGTCTTATACCTGGTCAACGTGTTAATAACAAACTAATATCTCTTGTTGTGATAGACCTAGCAGTGGAATATTCATTATCATCATTTTAGCATGTGTCTATCCACTGTTGGATATAGGCCTTTCCCAATGACTTCTATCCTGTGCGATCATTCGCCTTCCGTCGACCCATACGCATCTCTACTCCATGACTTTTCTTCCCCATCTACCATTGCTAACTCGGCTGACATGCCCGGCCCACTGCCAGGTGCGATGTTAATGAGATGTTATGGTATTTTAATTATTATGTCAAATACAGTGAACATTTATAAATTACTTATGTTTTAGTGATATTTATATCTGTTACTTATACCATACTATGAAGGCGGAAGATAATAAAGTGTTCAATCAGGTCTATGGTGGTTCGGCTTACATCATAAAAAACTATCTAGCTAGCTTTGGCTGGCGCAGCACTCTAAGTTCTTATACGATAAGTTATACCCAGTGATGCCTGATAATTTATTGATGAGATATTCTAACACATTTACTTTCTATTCATAGGTTAGCCGTACATTATATGAATTAATATTAAACACAAAGAGAAGGTGCAATAATTTACCGAATTTTATCATATTGTGAGCCCAAGTATTTCCCATATTTGGAATTATGAAATTTAAATTAATGGGTAGTAACATATTCTATGAACATAGACATTACTATAGCACAGATAAGATATTACTACATAATCATAGTTTTTAATTTAATTTTCTTTGATTGGATGTTGTACCACTGTATCATTGTAATTTCTTATATTAAAAAGGATACATATGACTATAAAACATTTCCAAAAATTACTCAATTAAGCATCAAACATTAAAAACGCGTGTATTTAAAATTTATTGTAAATAATGACATCAAAGTAAACGACCTGTGTCGCCCATTTTCTAAGTTACTGCACCGGAAGGGACCGTCTTTTTTATTTATAATCGAACGAAACTGGGCGGCAATGAAGGGAACCGTGAAAGTAAGATAAAAAGTGTTATTAAAAAATAATGTAACATTCAAAAGTTCTATATTTATTGCTAATAGAAAATAATGATAAAAATAATATTGTACTTAAATTTTTATTTTCATACTACGTAGGTGGCTCACAAGCACATGGCCCATCATAGTAAAATGGTACCGCATCCTATGGACACCTGTAACATCAGTCACTAACGTCAGTATAAAGTTCGTAGTATTTTTTGAGCATTTATTTCATATATGCTCAAAAATTACCACGAACTACGAATACTATTAAAAACGAATATTTTATTACAGAATGTGTACATATTTTATGCAGTAGCTGGATATCACATTATTTACATAATCATGAAACATTGTTAATTATAACGACACAGTCGACATTGCTGGAATAGGAATTCCTTCATGGTAATTTTCTGAATATAACTTTTAGGAAAATAGATGTTTAGCAATGTAAACTAGGAATATATTAGTTTTATTAAGTACATTAATATCAAATCACTAACTAACACCACGGAGTTGAAAATGCATATATGCATTAAATTGATTTCTACACATAGGTATTAATTAAATAACAAATATAACACATAGTCAAGCCAAGTCTTGTTAAAAAACATGAAATTGTGCAATTGAAAAACCATACATAATAAATGCATACGCGTAGTTTGCAAATGGATTTTTATCAATAAATCTGCGAAACCTTTTTAAAAACGGTTATACGATTCTGTTGGAGCGAAATGTTTTCCCGGTGCCTACGACGCTTAACGCGGCTTAGCTTAGATTTCGAGCACAATCCTCCCTGATTGCACAAACGGTTTTTCCGAAGCGTAAAAATTTTACTGCCGCCCCGACGATAGGCAACCGACGACTATTTCACATAAATCTATCAATTGTGAGGGAAATCGCAGACGAAGGGTTCTGTATTTCATTGTTTAGGAAAAATATAGATAACGTGAATATTATTCCTATTGCAGCCACTGCTTATAAAACTATATGTTTGTAAACACACTAGTGATAAGAAATGATTGCGCTCTGTTTTCTCTGAAGACAAGAAACTTGGCACAAACATAGTCTTTGTGAGAAAAATATTAAGTATCTTAAGGTTTTTTATATTACAATCATTGTTTTTAAGGCTTTATAAAATATTATAAAGCCTTATTATGTAATTTCTTTATATAACTGAAAGATGGTTTATATATCATTTATAAACCATCTTTCAGTTACAGTAAACAAATAATATTTAGTAGGAATAATACTCACATAGATAATTTCACTTTCACACAGCATAATTTATCATTATTAAAAATAATGTTTTAACTAAATATCTCATGTGTTAGAGAGAAATCTATATAATTTTCATAAGATGTTTATAAATTAGTTTAAATTAAATAATTTATATTGGTAGGCCATATATGGTTCAACGTAAGTACATTCTATAATACAATGCCTAGTCTATAATTACCTAGAAAGTAAAGTACTTAATCTATGACATTAAGAGATAACAATATCCATATAATTTCCCACTAAAGTAAACAGAAAGTACTCTGACTAGGGTTCTGCTAGTATATACCGTAAGCGCAGACGGGTGCTCCAATCTATCATCGCCCATAAAATAACTAATATGATAAGGAAATAGTAAAATTTCAAGAAGCTCTTGAAATTTTACTGTACCAGTACAAACAGACCTATGAGTTATGTTTGTACTTATACAGTAATATATAATATAATGTGGGTATTTTAATACGAAACCCTAAAACCTCTAGCCTAACTCTACTAGATTTTCTCGATTTTAGTAGTCCGCTTTTTATAGTGCTAACTCAGATGAGATGTAACGAAGCCACATTGGTTAAGCTACATCTTTTAGAACCGAGTTCTGGGAAAGACATTTTTATTACCATTTTATAATTTAATTTATATTTCTGTATACTTCATTTATTTATATGTATTTATATAATATTAGTGTACAACTACGATTTCTAAAAATATTTTAATTAAAAGCTTATTTACTTTGTGAAAATAGGCAAATCGTTGTTAAAACTATTCAGTAGCTAAGCTATCATCCATTATTTTTTTATTTATTATGAAATTTATCTCTGCATTTAATAAAAAAGGTAGTTAGTCTAATATATATTGTCGTTCGGTTTCGGATTCGTACATATAACAAAAGCATATTATCTCCGTGGACCACAAATATCTTGATTCCTGTAAATCTTTCCTCAGAATATATACATTCTTCAGAAGTTCTATACAAAGAGAACTTTTCCAATATTTTGCGTATCCCTACCAATATAGGTAAAGTTTTATGATATACAGGATTTATAATTTGACCTCGGTCGAGTTCAAAATACAGATTTCCTCTGTGTCGATGATTGCACAAACGTGGGGCTAACTCGGCGTCGCTGATCAAAGGGATTGCAAGCCTCAGCGAATACCTACTCTGACGCCTTTTGAACCTTCAGTGTCACTGTTCATCTACTTTAGTCTCCATCTTGGATATACACGGCTGAATCCTGACTAATATTAGAGTCAAAAATATTATATTAGTTAATCATAGACAACCAATTGTTGTTTGGCATAAACTTAATTCCTCGTACATTTTCGGTCCTTCTAATGGTATGTGCAGAATGTCGCCGCCCCCGTACTCGTAAATAAAAAGACATGACATTGTTATGTGACGACCGTTCTACATCTTATGCATTGGCATTTCGGAAGATCAAGATGTTATCCATTCACATCCTACCATTCCGCTTGGCATCTCAAATAGGTGTGACTGACGTACCTATGAAGAGGTCTGTTTATAATGTTTACTTCGGAGAAATCGTTAAATATTTCATTAAAATATTTTTACAAGATTGTTTTTCTCTAATTTATTATTCGATGAACAAAACGATCTAATGTTTGTAAAAAGTTTTAATTTTACTGGTATTTCTAAGCTTTGTTACTTTTGTTATTCACATAACGCCATATGGAAGGTGTTATAGGTATGTACAGTTAGTGCATTATATATTATTATTTGTAAACATAATTTAGTTTCAAACAGGCTGTCTTATATACGGATGCTCTAAATCTCTCCTTTGTAAGATTAGGTATTTAGCCTTTGTTTTGGTTATGCTATTAGGTATATTAGAATTCGTTACTTAAATTGCAAATTAATGTACAGTCTAGCTTAGAGTATGTCTACATACTTGTATATGCAACTTACTGTATTTATTATCACAGTCTGTAATCACATTATTAAGCATAACTCAAAATCCACTTGGAACTTATGATTATATTTATATGGGACCACAGTAGAAGTAGTAGTTTCCAAACAAACATCATAATCATTAAAAAAAATAGATCCATTGGAAATCTATTCATAAAATCGATTGAAAATATTTGTATTCAAATATAATATCTATTTTTTTTAAATAATTAATTTGACACTTCGTATATTCGTAACGTAACAATGCAGCATATGGTTTGGCCTATAATATAAAATTTATGGGTTTCAAAGTCTGTATCGATTGTTATATAAATTTAATATTGTTTATTTTAGCAGTGAGAACATAACAGTCTAGGCTGATGGTGATATTATATATATGGGCTTGGTAAGATTATATATATGACGCTAGTTATTATATACTTATTTCTATTTCTATTTCTATAACTACTATTTTAGTTAGTTGTCCCGCCTATTTCAGTCAGCCTTAAGGTAGTATCTTTGTAAGCTGTATTCTGGTTGGAGGGTGAGATATATATGACTGTAATTAGGTACAGGACATGCAGACATCTTTCGACGGCTATATAAAGAATACATTAAAATTTAAATACCTGTATAAATTTCTGAAATTGACTGTATAAGGAATTGAACTCATTTCGAAGGTCTCGATTTATCGTTTCTTACTTTGGAAGATATTCAGTTACAAATACAACCTTGGACCCGTCCAATAATGCTTATTCATTTTCGTTCTGAAGCTAATGTTTCTTGCCATTAACGAAATACAACACTTGAAAAATATATTATTACTCTGTCACAAACAATCATTAGAAAAGTGCTACTTTGTTCTTTTGTTTTTATCAGTTTTAGTAAAGTTAGCGCGTTCAGCCCACACATAATTTGTATACTTCAACTCTTATTACAAAATATAACCTTCTTAATATTCTTCGGTATTTTTCTCAAATTTATTTAAGAATCATTAGAGATAATCATATTTTACCTATACATATTGTATTTTATAAAACTAATGTCACATATAAAATTATATGTTACAAATGCATGTCAATTTACAAAACTCAATTAGGTATACAAAATTAGAATTGAGTTACAAAAAGCAATAAACAATTGAATATCGTAAAATTTATAAAAGATACCTGTTAATCTACATGCAAAACACAACCGTGAAATTGGGCCAGATTACAAGGAACTGTAGAAAAAAACTAATCTAATGATAAATACTTTCTATTGAATATTTGATATTGATAATGAAACGAATATTTTAAGTATATAAGTAAGAGAGAAAACAATTCATTAATAAAGAATATTTCATAAACATTTGTAGAACAGGTACCTAAGTGAACTTGAAATGGTATAACCAATTTTAACTGCAAAGAAATTTAGTACTTAAACACATAATACAAAATAACATAGTGTAATAACGTGTAAAATAATGTGTTGAACAATCTTTGAACTGATTTGTGTGTAAAGTGATATAAAATTTAATTTACACTAATGATGTGAAAAAACAGTCGTGATGTGGATTGCTGCTCTAGTGTATTTTTCCGCTCACTTGGGTAAGTTCCTTTAATATTTTATTAAAAACCTACACAGTATTATTACATATTTAAAGCTTATTATGTGGCTACATAATTATGGTTATTGATATGTTACTACGCCCTGTATTGATTTTTTAGTACCAGTGTCATAATTTTTTTTTTATTTTGGACATCTGAATTAATCTTTTGCATATTTTTTAATAGAAAGTGCGTTAAATAGGTTTTATAATCTTAAAGAAATATTCAATAGATGTCCCCTTTTTATTCCTTCAGTATAGGATATAATAATTTTATATTATTGTGCATTTAGTTACAAGATAATAAAATTATATTCCATAATATACTCGTAGACATGAGTAGGTGTATAAATATATCTTATATTCTCATTCTGCGAATGTAGAAAATAATTCTGAATTGCCCCTTTTCATAGCCTGACCTACACCTTTCTCATCCAGACATAACTTATGGGCGCTTTTATAACATCCAACCATTTTTCTGCAGACCGACCTCCGTTTCTTTTGGAAATATGCTATTATTTAAAGACATCGTAAATTTAGCACCGATATCAAATGTCAAGAGCAACTATAGAAGATAAACTTTTAAATGTGAAGATGTTATAACGCGACATTGACAAAATTATTATATTTATTTTTTTAAACCTTTTTATTCATTATAACTCTTGAATCATTATAATATGGTAATATTACTATTAATATTACTGAGAAAATAGTCCCAAAAGAATGATTAATATCCTAGTGACAGATATTGTAACATTATTTTTTAATTACAGTAAATAAATTGTATAACAATTTATTTACTGTAATTAAAAAATCGTAACTGCGATAAGAATAAGCAATTTACGTTCAAATAATTTTGTAGTTCAATTATTGTTCTACGTACAATTACGTTGGAAGATAGAAATGCTCACTGCACTGTTTCTTCGTACAGTACCTAACACAACGCAATTATAGAGTTAACACTCTTATGCAAAAACAAAGCGCAACTATGTTGTACTGGGAAAGTGTTTGCTAGTGGCGGTACTTAAGTGCAAAGTTCATTAAATAGCGCAATGTATTATACATTTTGCATATATTTTGTATCTTATATATATTTTGTTCATAATTTACTAGTATAAAATGAAGTATAAATGTTCATTTTACTCAAAACTAAATTTCAACATTTTAGATTGTATCTTTTAATGTAGAATTATTTAGAGGAAACGATTATGAGTGTGAATAAATGTGTATGGGATCTAGTTGGCATATTGCTAGCTATATTAGTCTATCAAATTATCGTTGCTACTAGACTAGAAATCAGAAAAAGAAGAATGACTGGACATCATTCACTTCGTTTCTATTATTCTATCATTCTCTATATTTCAACAATTTTACAGTAATTAGGTATAAATAAATAGATATTGTAGAACATAATAATAACAAAACAGTGCTTTATATATGTATTACATCCATTTATTTTTATTGTTGGTGGATATTTTTAACGTAAAATGTATCGAGTATCTATCGTTTCATTCAATTTACTCAACCGATTAAAAAAGCAACCATTCTCTGGCATTTAGTCGGTTGATCTGTCCACCCGAAAATATTCGCACCAATGAACACTTTTCACTTTCTTTATGGGGAGAATTCCACAATTACATCCCTATGAGCTTTTTCAAATAAATACATCACTGTAAACCTTTTTTTTTTCAACCAACCAGTATCGTATTTTTTCTTACTTATTTATTAATTACCTTATTATTATTTATAAAACAGTATTGAACCATATTACATGTACCTTATGGATTAACTAATAGAAAATAAATATATTGTCTTTGTGGTAACCACACTCACTATGGCAACCTGCCACGGTAGTAGCGACGGTAGCAAAATTTCGGCGGTATTGAACAAAGAAAGATTTTCTAAATTATAATCAATAGAAGATGGCATGAATGATCAATAGACAGATTTTAAAGAACAAAGTGTTTGTAAAATGTCAAGTAACGAAGCATTTTAATCAATAATACGCGATAATTTATTCGTAAGATATAGGTACATTATTTTCAATTTCCGTCATCTTTAGAGATAATATTTCAATATTTTGCTTTTGCTTTGCTTAAACATATTGCTTTTTAGAAATAATAATATGTATTTTTTTTATAAATATTATGAATGACGAAACAAGAATTTGTACACTGTCAATTAATCATCATCATCATCATCATCGCAGCCTGGAAGACGTGCTGGACATTCTCCCCAAAGATCTCCACGACGATCGGTCCTGCGCTGCTCGCATAATGCCTTCCCGCGATCTTGACCAGAACCTTGCTGGAGGCCTTCCCACGCTGCGTCTTCCGGTCCGTGGTTCGAGGACTTTCTGCCCCAACGGCCAAAAATTTTGCAATTCTTCTGCGGATCTCCTCATTTCTATTCAGAGGTTCTTTTAGCTAGCATAGCCCTCTCCAAACTCTGAGCTTGTTGATGGGGCCCATAGTTAGCGACCACGTCTCTGTTCCGTAAGTCATCACTGGCAACACACATTGGTCGTAAACCTTCGTCTTGAGACACTGCGGAAATTTGGACGAAAAGATATATCGGAGCTTCCCGAACGCTGCCCATCCGAGTTGGATTCGACGATTGACCTCTTTCTCGAAATTGGAACTAAAGTATACGTAGTGATCGACAATTTCGAGTGTAGAATCTCTAACTGTCTACTATCTGTCTACTATCTTAAACTGTCAATTAAAGATCTACATTAATATTAGAAGTAAGTCTTTATCTAAAAATTGTTTTCATCAAATTTAGCTAAAAATAATACAGGTTAAACGCAGTTTTAAAAAAAATCTGTAAACAGAAACAGGCATACCTATAATATTAAAAACGACAAACTTATTGTTTCAAAGCGGCGTGATTACTGTTCCCCTCCTTTTGTATAGGGGTTTAAAAATAAACGCCGAGAAACTTCTACCCTATTTTTCCTTCTATTGATTTTATATCAATATTTAAAAAAAAATGAAAACGTGGCCTAGTTATTTACAATCTTAACTTATCAAAAGTCGTAATATCGAATCTGGTCGACACCAAAAGCTTTTTATAGAAACAGCAATTTCTGACTAAATCTCTCGTGATGAAACGTTCTGTTAACAAAATTAATCCGAAAGGTGACCCTCTTCCATACTTGATTGAAATATTCTCAGCGAAATGTAAGCATGTTAAAAGTTGCGGTTATTACAACATCATGTTAATGCCCGTCACTACTTCATTTGGGATTATATTTTGCGGAATATGAATAAGTTTATTAAATTTACAGTCGGTTTGAAGGCATAACTCTTTTAGTAGTCGGTTAATAAAATAAAACATTTCTGGTAAGAAAACGTTAGGGATAAATATAAATCTTAACATCTGTTTCGCTTTCTAGACAATAGCTTTTTACCTAATCTTCCACTACAGGGGTTGAATTTCCCAAAAGCTATTATTAGTGAGTGCTTAGATCACAAAAGACGCCCACTGTTCAAATTACATATCTGGCTTTAGCGGTTTTGAGGCGGCGTGAATGAATCACATAATTCACTTTCTTTGTGGGTACATCCTGCTTGTTTTGTTAAAATTTGTTATAGGTATTTGTGCCATTCGTGAAATAATGTTCAATTAATTAGTCACGTTAGTACAGTTGTTCTGAATTGAATAATTATGTAAAGTATAATAGCACATCATCTGTATTATAGAAAATATTTTATATTCTTCTGTAGAAGTAAAAATTCTCATAATATAATTAAAATGATAATGATAAAAACATAAAAAACTATTGGTATGTATATTATATTAAAACTTATGTATATAAAAATATAATAAAAAATATTTGAAATGAGCTATTCAAGACATTAATTAAATAAAAACTATTATTATCATATCTTTAACTCAAAGGTCAATTACGAGTAATTTCAGTATGTACTTCCATTTATTTTTAATGTAAATGGACATTTAATTTAATTTTAAATATATTCTATTTTTAGACTCAGTTTTAAATATATCACGTAACTACAGTTAGTACAATTCTACCTACGGGGCAATAGCCTGCGCATAGTGGAAGTGAGGAACTGAGCTAATGCATTGAGAAAACTCAATCGAGCGCCAAAATCGTTTCATTTCTTACAATGACTCCTTGGAGATAGCGAACAGCGACATCGTATTGCTTTACTGGGTTGCGTCTTGTTCACAGCAATTATTTGATCTGATTCCTCTATTTCTTTGGACTTCAGCTTGTAAGAAAAACAAATATATATTTAATAGCTGAACCGACACGCGTTGCTGTGGCTCAGTTGTTCTAATATTGAAGTCAATAAAAACTATAGTATCTTTCGAATTGAACAAAATTGCACAAAGCGAGCCGTTAATAAAAATAGGAGTGTATTCCTAGACACGAAGTTATATTTTAGAAAGCCATCTGCGTGAGTCCCTCAGTCTCACTAAGCAGCTTATTTTGTAGACAGTTTCATTTATAGGCTTAGGCAGTGAAATTACAAGATAAGAGGCATGATTATGTATTCAGTATTTATTTATTTCGAGACCTTTCTAATGTTCATTCCGATTTTTAATTATATTTAAATAATTAAAATTACGTACCTACTTGAAAAAAAATAAAGTTGCAATATTTTAACTTATCATTCTGATGATATAGACGGCTGACCTAAAACTCGATATCTTTTTTATTTCGGCATCAATATCAGCTTCGTTTTCAGGCATGGTAAGTTAACCACGAAATATTAATTCGAACACAATACGCTCGTAACTCTGACGTAAGTAAGTACAAAAGTTGTTTACTTTGGATAACTTTGCAGAATACGTTTAGACTTTGATGATTTATTTAAACAGAATTTCAATTTCTTGCAATATGGATTTGATTTAATTATGTTTAATAAATTAAAAATTGTGTTGTTTAGAAGTTTCATTAACTCGAAATAAACTATTTTCTAATATAGAAATAGTAAGTTAGAGAAAATAAACCACAGCTAATTTGGTAAT